TTTTGGGGATTAGGAATTTGAGAAATGTTGAGGATTCAGGGATTGGACAGATTGAGAAGGGGGGTAATTAGGCCTCCGGTAACCTCACACACACGACAAAACACACCGTAAGCGTTGTTTCACGTCTGTTTTCTGTGAGACTATGATATCACTTCAGTCGAGCCAGCCCATTCTTGCTGAAGCATGGCTCTCCCACACTTAAACCCCTTACACCATTGTCATGAACCTATTACTCCAGATAACAACAAAATATCAGAACTTCATCTTCAGTTCCAAACTAATATCTGCTACCTACATACTAACTACTAAGTCAATAAATATAAGTATCATAGGTCAAGCAGTTATCCAAGTTTCATGTTTAGACATTCGACCTTTAGCTCCTCAAAGGTAAAGATAGATAAATAATTAATTTGTTTTCAAGACGACGAGACTTCTAGAGTTAATGAATTATTTAAGAAGATAGGTCATGATCGTTTTTTGAAAATATCCTTTTTGTCAGATGAAAGTCTAATGATCAGACGGATCGAACCACCTCTGGCCATGGACACCCGCAATTTAGAGCCGGTCTTTTGAACCGAATTAGGTACTCTTCGGTAGGTGGGCTCTTCTTGAAAGTTTGTTTTCTAGATAGTTCATATGATCTGGTGAATTAAGAACCTAGGGAACTTTCCTTGAAGAGGCCTTAGGATGCCGAAAACACGAGAAATAAGCCCCTGGTCTGAATAAGGTAATCCTGTTTTTAACAAACTGTAGCCATTTGTCTTCAATCCTGTTAGGTACCAAGAAATATTAACATCATTGGACTGCAATTAATGCATCTGTGACCTTCCGACGACCTTTGTCGAGGCAAAATACCTTCAAAATGACAACATTGGGATGACACACACCCATGACATCAGACAAGTGAGATTTACATCATATCAGAGAGTTTTATCTGAATTAGATAATATTATAATCAAGATTAATCTACTAATTGAAGAGATTCCGATCTCCCAAAACACTGTAGAGATAACGATAAAATTAGAGTATAAGATTACAAGATTTATTAATAGTTTTGGCATAAGATCTTTATCTAAAATGAAAAGGTAACCTGTATGTGCAATCTGTAAACAAGCGATAAATCTAAAATCTAGTTTTAGATATAAAAACAAGACGAAAGAAAAAGATGGACGGATTGTGTACAAAGTGGTGGGAAAGAAGAGAATATGTTTGACATGATGATGTCCTAAAAAAGAAGAAGAAAAAAGGAGACAGAAAGAAAAAGAGAAGAATATATTGATTTCGTAACTTGAGATAAAGGCAGGCTAATAAAGAAGATGATTTAAACAATGACATAGTGTTTTTTCATTCACAACTTTGGAATACAAAAATTATATGAGAATATTCATACATCAGCGAGTGAAAAGATATCAGACTATAGTTGATATCCACTAAATTCTACAGAGACAGGGATGCCTACTATTTCACTAGATAAATTCTACAGCGTATAAGGGACTAAGGACCTCTATTCGTCCTTTATAACCTCCATCTTGGGGACGAAACAAATTAAGATTTACAACGCTGAGAGTTATGACCCTCTGGTGAATTAAAAACCTTCGTTCCACGTGGAAGTTTCTGGAAAATCAGGATGGAAAACTATCCTACGCGTAATATTAAAGTATTAGTGATAATACAGGGTTTTGATTTACATTTAAAGTTTTGACTGCCAATAAAAACCGTTGGAGGCAAATTCTCCAGTAACCTTTTCTTTTTCATGGAAGGAGTCGCCGTTTGACCACTATCTCGCCTGGTGGTAAGCGATAATGCGGTCTACGATGGAGCATAAGTGTTAATTGTGTGTAATTTCAGCCATTTATGAAACGAATGAACCTTTCTTTCTCTTTCCTTGTGAGAGTAAAGTGAGTCTTTCACCATCACCATTAGATAGGAAAATTTTAATGTCTCTTGTTCAAATATTCAAACGCTACTCAATTTTATAATTCTGTCGCTACAAATTAATTGCAAAATGACAGAGACGGCACGATATTTAAGTATAACTTAAAAAGTCTTTCAGTATTCGGCCGTCTATCTCTAAAAGCCTTTAAAAGTCTCTATTCAGTTCATGAATATACCTATAGCATTGCTAACATAATCTTTGGCTTTATTGTGCTAGTATCGGTACATTTACCTCTAGGTTGTTTAGGGGCGCCATGGAGACGACTTATGTCCAGCAGTGGACTTTTATAAGCTGACTAGCAAACCCGGGGAACTCCGTTTCGCCACCAGATGGCTTCGTTTTATGTAACATTCTTTGCTATAAACCTCACGGAGCCCGAGACCTTTCCAACGAATGCAAAACCGTGGAAATCGGTTCGTGCGTTCTGGAGTTATAGCGTCAGGAAGGAAAACCCGACTTATTTTTATATAGTAGGTAGATTGCGAAGATAATGCTAACTTGATTCTATAGAAACGAAGTATCTTATTCTAAACCCCAGTGTTTATAAATAACACTTTCAATTTTCTAATCTCCTCATAACACAGATTAATCCGACTCCTACGTACAAAAAGTAAGGACATTCAGCCACATGGAACAAATGATCATTATGAGATAAATAACTATTCATCTCTGAGAAAACAATTTACGAGTGAAAGTGTTTCCTGTAAACAATAACTTGGGCCAATGACTCACGTTTTTCTTAGATTTCAGAGATAGATATTTTATTATAATCTAGCGATGCACTGCTGGGCAACCGGCTGCCGTGCAACGTGTCGGGGGTTCGATTCCCGCACGGAACAACACTTTGTGTGATCCACAAATTGTTGTTTCGGGTCTAGGAGTCACTATGTATGTGAACTTGTATGTTTGTAAACGCACCCACGACACAGGAGAAAATCCAAGCGTCAATTCGCTAGTATGTTTAATGGCGTAAAGTCTGTATTGAATGAAACAATGTCCCCATTTTTAATGATCCCATTAAATAGCACTTACCAAGAACTTATGATAATGAATAAAAATGATATTTGTACAATCCAAATCTATCGACTGCTTGGTTATTTTATCTTATATCTTATACTAATATATAAAGCGGAAGAGTTTGTTTGAGCGCGCTAATCTCCGTAACTATAAGTCTGATTTCAATAATTATTTTTGTGTTGAATAGCGCATTTATCGAGGATGGCCATAGGCTATTAAACATCACGCTACGACCAATAGGAGCTGAGCAGAGCATGTGAAACCGCGCGGAAGTAGCTAGTTATAATATAAAGCTAAAGAGTTTGTTTGTTTATTTGTTTGAACGCGCTAATGTCAGGAACTACTGGACGGATTTGAATAATTCTTGTTATGTTGGATAGTGCTTAGTTATCGAGGAAGACTAAGCTATATCACGCTATGACCAACAAGCGACGAGCAGAGCGCAAGAATGAATAGTTTAGCAATAGAGTTAAAAAAATCACAGTATATTGTCACTTTACATTATCTTAATGTGCTGCCGTGGCGTGTAATGTAATCAAACAATTTCTATTAACCACAGATAATATTGTCAATAGCATAAATGTGTTCCGCGAATAGATAGGGAAAGTGGCTGCTATCTATTGTTGTTCTCATGTGTGGGTTCACGTTTTATTTTATCGATATCGATACTATAGTTATTGTTGCTTAGTAATATTTCTTCCTTGGTTTTCAAGCCCCAAGCGAATAATGCCGCATCAGCTCCTTTTTGCAGACTAGCGCTTATAAACAAACAAACAAGTTAAAAGTCTTGGGATGGTTTGAAAAATGACAGAGAAAACTGATGGAATAATAAAATACAGATACAATACAATAGACTTTTTTTAAGGGACAAGCCCGCCGCTACCTCCCTAAACCGCTGCAGCTCCTGTAAGCCAGGATCTACAGTAGATACAACCATGAAAACACCGGAACATTGAAGTCCGGCGCGTCCCAGGGACATGAATAACTGTCTTGGTTCCCGCAACGAAGTGAATCAGAAGATATTATAAGAAGAGAAGAAAAAAAACGATAGTTTCCACTTCCCTCGGTGAATTACTGTAGGAGACAGAGTGAATTAAGCCTAAAGGCACAAAGAATAGAGACTGTACAACTGGGTGAAGCCCAGTCGCACAATACAATAGACTGGTGAAGATAAGTTTGATAGAAAGATAATTTAAAAACCCTAAGTAAGACAGGATATTAATTTTTCCTATAAATAATCTTCCAAGGACAAGTAAATAAACAGAAAATATATTATCCAACATTGTTTTATTAGTCGTATATTCGAGTGAGAGATAAACAAGTTTTTGAGAGAAAGATTCATGAATTGGTTAGTTTTAGAAAAAATTTAAACCAAAATAATCTGAAGTTTATTACGAGGTTTATTCCCAGAACTGAAGTGCGTTTAAGAAATTTAAAATTAATTTCACATTAAATATTGCGAGGGATTTCATCCGTGGACGATATCCAAATCAGCAATGAACTGAAGCTATTAAAATGACGACGGCATAGATGTGATATCGATGATTTTTTAATGTGACTTATCACATATCAAATTCGATATTATGGTAATTAGGATAGTGAATTATCAATCTTATTGAGCATTTTCTTTTAAGGGACGAAAATCATCGAGTGTCTTCTCCCGCCTGGGTAAGGCGGGAGGGGGTCTCAGGCTCTTATTGACTAAAATCCACCCCGTCCCTACTCCTGCACTTCGAACCTAAGCCCCGACAACCCGTTAAGTCCTCCGCGGCTATATTTTTGACCATGCGAGGATTATATGTAGACTTCCAAGCACGATTGCCAATTAAGGTAGAATGTACAAGGAACCTTAAAATTTTGTAACACCTAATAATTTGTACCTACATTCATAGCAAATAAATGATCTATTCTATTCTATTCTATTCTATTCTATTCTATTCTATTCACGCTTCGGTCAAAGCTGTCTGAGGAAATTTAAACCTATTAGTGCACTCAAATACAGATCATTCTGATAAATTTAGTACAAGTTTATATTTATAACACTTACCACTAGTGAAAGCCGGTGGTGCGGGGGCGGCGGTGGCAGCCTCGATGGCCGCCGAGACACAGCACATGTCTCCTTCTGCGAATAGAAGAAACAATGGAATATTACAAACTAACTATAGACCATAACAGCTTTTTTAAGGAGTAAAATTATCTATTAACTTCTCCTGTCTTAGGTGAGACCAGAGGGAGTGTCACGCACGACTCTCGACTGAAAACAACGTACCTACTCCTGCTTTGAGTTGGCGCCACGGTAATCCTTAATGGGCCATCAGAGCTTTAAACACAGTCAGAAAATGAACACGGATGGCATAATATTTAAAGAACTATTTTCACAGACAACCTCTAACTCTAGACTCTATTTCATCTTAAGTTAATTTGTTCCACAATATGATGCTATACAATACACCATAGATGACTGCCTCGTCGGCCGAGCGGTCACAACTTCGACTGCTGGGTAAGGGGTCTTGAGTTCAATTCCCGAATCGGGCGAAGTATTACTGGGTTTGCTTTTCAATTCTCAGTAGTATCTCAGAGTCTGGAATTGTGCCCGGTATATGGGAATAAGCTCACTTCCTATAACATGGGACTCATAACACAAATAGTGGAAAGTGGATGTTACATTGTACAGTGGCATTAAGTGCCGTAATGTGCACCTCTGCCTTCGGGGTTAAAGACGTGAAGATATGTACATCATGGATATAATAAAGATAAAATAGAGAAAATGTAAACCTCGAACAACCTCTGAATTCGCAGGATAGATTTATACTCCTTTCCTACCTTCCTCGGGGCATGAATCACCTCATTAACGTGAAAAAGGTTTAACCCTACATAATCTTAGTAGCAGTAAATTACTGTTTAATCCTAAATGAGTTCTTTAAACGCCTACTATAAGTACGTACTTATAACTTAGCAGTTACGTATGACGCCTACTATAAGAATTCAGAGCAAAGTGAAATTGTTCCCAGAAGTAGAGAAAGGCTTTCCTAGAACTTTAAGTGTATAGTTGGAATTTTTTGCAAATGTAGGCGTCTAATACTGGTTAGTTTTTTTTCAACTGTAGGTGGTTTTCTTGAATATATCAATTGTGTTAGGGCAATGATGAATAAGTACTAATAAAGGTACTTAAAGCTTTTGATTGCTTAGTGAAACGTAAAGCTATGTACGTAACAATTTGATTCTAAACAATGGACAACGAGAAAACAAAATTACTGTAGTCTACAGTGTAGTATAACAAAGACGATAGTTATTAAAATACTAAAAATGCCGAGTCACTCATTTAAATATAGGTACTGAGAATAGTTAGCTACTAGTTTGGAGTCACAGAGGGCCGCTTCCTCATGAGCAGCGTGCGAGGTCGCGGCGATGTCACGCAGCCTACTAATAAACCCTTTGAGTACCGTCATTATAGACACAAGTAGAGAACAATACCTCCTCCAATATGTCCTCGCGGTGTTTGACAGTTTAATCCGTCATTTTTATTTAATTCAGTCTGTCTCACGACAATTACTATAATAACATTAAAATACTCATCAACATCATATTAAGAACAAAGCTACGTAACCAAACAAACGAAGCACTTTAATTTTCTGCTATTCAATTAAGACATCGACAAGGTACTAAGGGCTCGTACACAAGACTGCGAAGCTACGCATCGCATGATGTGCGAGCGCCCTCTACGCAACGCAAGAACTTGCGAATTGATACGCATAGCGCATCAAAATCATATCTTCCCAAAATCTTCTTTGTCTCTTTTTCGTGTATCTCCTAAGCAATAACAGAGGTGCACACTACTTTTTACGATCCATGCCACGACCTAGTTTACAATTTAAAATACGTTAAGTACGGTTGACGGTCGTCGAAGGAATGGTCACTCTGGGAGACGCCTTGTCCCACGAAATCGCATTGCAGCAATTCGCGTCGCAATTTTTTGCGTTACGAATTCACATCGCAGCTTTGTGTACGAGCCCTTAAACAGCTGTCTCATTGTGGCCAGATGTCACTTAATAGTGCCATAATGGCAAGAAGGAGCTAACAAGATCACAAGTAATGACTCATTACACCCACCTATAGCATCAACTTATAAGGAGCTTACTCTGGTAGTAATCAAGTTGCGAGCCGCTACAAAAGATTGGATTAATAACTCGGCTTTAGAAAAATATTTTGTTTTGTACAAAAGTAGTTCATTTCTTGCCATGTTACTATTGTTTATGGTTTCTTAGTTGCTCAAGGAATGGGACTTGGATCTTACTAATATTATAAACTAGCTACTTCCGCGCGGTTTCACACGCTCTGCTCAGCTCCTATTGGTAGTAGCGTGATGTTTTATAGCCTACACCCATCCTCGATAAATGCACTATCTAACACAAAAAGAATTATTCTAATCAGACTTGTTCTTACGGAGATTAGCGCGTTCAAACAAACAAACAAAAAAACAAACTCTTCCGCTTTATATAATAGTATAAGAGTATAAGATATAAGATGTGAAACATTGTGTGTATGTTACACAATCAAGTCAAAACTGCTGTAGGGATCGGGATAAAATTTGGAACATGGATAGATTATAGATTGGAATAATACTTTTTAGGCTATGTTTTATTCTACGGAAAGGTTGGTGAATCCGCGGGCAGAAGCTCGTATAATATGTGTAGTTAATGTAATAGACATCGTTAAGTTGCGGAACTTCAAATTCTATGACTGTAATACGGTTTTTCACTGCAATAGCAAAAATAAAGTTTTCTGAAACTCACTGGTGCTGCCCTGGTATCATAAAGGTAAAGGTAACAGTTTATCGAATTAAAATTTATAAAGAGAATAATGAAAAAGGTACTCACGACGTGAACAGAGAGTGTAGGTGCTGACTTCCCGAGCGCGGACCTGCGCATACGCACGAGGTTCGACTGTCGAGAAGTTTTAGTTGCATCTGTAACAATAGAAACAAATTACATTAGAAAAATAAAAACAATGAGTGTTTGAAAGATATTTTTTGTAAATACGTTTGTATATATCAAGGGGCTTTTGGAAAGACATTGTTAACAAAATGAAAATATTTTCCAGGGTAAGTCATGCCACGATTATACAAAAATTGGTTTGGTAATCCTTATATACCTAGTTTTTTTTTTATTTTCTTTGACAACTTCGTACGTAGGTAGATACGTAAATACGTACGAGTTTATTTTGTGGTAAGCTCGAATTTCGCTTTTGCAACGACCTCATTTGCAACATAATCCGTTTACTTTTTTTACCAAAAACAGTTCTTATTTTAAAACTGAACATTTGATGAACATTTTTAATGATATGCATCGACGGTTCTGCATTGATACTTGCAGTATTGTAGTTGATTTAGATTGCAGTTAATGACGGTCTAATACGAAATCCAAAAGTATTACAAAAAAAGAAAATGCAAAGCAGAACCTTCCCTTTTTTCAATTTGGCTGTAAATATACATTTCATTATAACAAGTTATTTTTTTTATGGAATAGGAGGCAAACGAGCAGAGGGATCACTTGATGGTAAGCGATCAGCACCGCCCATGGACACCCGCAACACCAGAGGAGTCACAGGTGCGTTGCCGGCCTTTTTAAAAGGAATACGCTCTTTTCTTGAAGGTTTGAAGGTCGTATCGGTTCGGAAATACCGCCTACGACAGATCATTCCACATTTTTGCTGTGCGAGGTAGAAACCATAAGTTATGCCAATATATTGTAATTTAATTTTATTGTAACTTAGTTTTTTTTAAGAGCTACGAGAGTAAGTAATTTTTGATATCCGTATTTTATCCAAACAAAATCGCAGTACCTTATCTGTTTGTTTACTCATAATAATTTGCTGAAACTGCAAATATTTTCTTTGCACAAATTAATAGATATGACCTTAAACCCACCGTATCTGGCGAGTGTAAGCAGTACTATGTAGTTGGAAGTAGACAAAACAAGATGAATCGACATGTTTACGTGTTGTTATCTTTAACAGCCATATATCAATGAATCACTGTGGTGAGTGTTTGTCTAGACGGTAATGGGAATGATGCCTTTATCCGGTCAACGCAGTAATGCACTCATTATGACTCAATTACTAAGAAGAGGCGTTAAAGATTTTTCTGATTTTTAAGTCATCATAATCATCGCTTGCCACCAGGCGAGACAGTCCATCAAATATAAAAAAGTATTACCAAATTCCAGATACCCTTAACCGACGAGCATGCATGAAAAGATTGATAACTGTTGATGAATCCAGAAAGGTATGTAGGAAACGTAGCAATTGGCGATCCATAATCTCTGCCTACCCCCACGGGAGACAGGCGTGAAGTTATGTATGTAAGTACTGTCAGCAAAGTGGCAAGGCTGCAGGAATCCCTAAGTGATATCCAGTACCTATGTACCTTTGTTTTGTTATATATATTTTTTCCTGTGTATTGTCTGTGTTATGTACATAAATAAATAACCGAGTCATAATGAGTAACTAAATAACTTTAGTATTCTTTTTAAGGGGGGAAATTAATCGAATGTCTTCTCCCGCCTGGGTGAGGCGGGAGGGAATGTCAGACTCTTGCTGACTAAAAACCAACCCGTTCCTTCTCCTGCACGTCGAGCCGGAGCCCCGGTAACCCGTTAAACAGTAGGTATAATTTTCTATTACCGATAGTATTTTCTATTCCTACCTCCTATCCCCATTTTAACTCGTCGAGTACCGGTTTTATAGACACAATTAAAGAACAATAGGTCGCGGTCACCGGTGACCGCTTGGTATTTGACAGTTTAATTCCAATTCCAACCCGTCTCACCAAATTTAATTGTCTACCCCACCCAAGTCGTAAAGGTATAAAATATTGCAGTTTTATTTACTCAAACGTCCAATTCTGGTTATGAATGACAAATAGCTACATTTCATATGAATAATGTCCAAATACTCAAACGAAACACTACTCGATTTTAAGTAGAGTTTAAATATAGTTCTGTCCCTATAAATTCTTTGTAAAATGACAGAGACGGCACTATAAATTTGAGTAGCCTCTCAATATTCGGGCGTAAATGTCTTAAAGTGTTTTGAATATGTATTAGACAGCTTAACCACTCGCATTTGCAGTTGATTGCTCTATGTTTTAATGTCGAGTTCTTAACATTAATATTGTACATAGTATTCCATAAAAATAATGGACATTTTATACTTCGTCGATTCGATAAAAATATCGATAATAAAGGAATTTTAGCATGAGAATATCTACTACCTAAAAATATCAAAATGTTTAATATTGTACCCCCGATATGTAAGCGACCTAAAGCGATTAAAAGTGAAGCTATTTACTCATTTCAAGATGTAGATTCCTATGAAGAAGAACGAGCAAGAAACTGTACAGGTTCCTCTTTTTCAATCAGGTTCACAATACAATTCTCTAGTTACATAGTTTTGTTGTTTGGATTGTGCGAGAACAATGTCTAAAATCCAGTCAAAGAGATATAAAATAAATGACTAAATCTTTCAGTTCATACTGAATTTGTACTAGGGAAGAAATACAGTTTCTCTGTCAATTTCCTGACTAAATAACAGACTTGATGTTAAATACCCACAGAGCAAGCTAAATTGGAATTACTTTAGCGTCGAGGATTCCCTGAAGACTAAATTAATGTCTGAAGCTTCAAGCTAGGAATATTTATAGCATAATTAGCTAGGTCTCGGCTAGACACGACGCGTTGAGGGAAGATCTAGAAAACTAAATAGAAAAGGTAAGTGATTTACTGAAGTCAATCTGGTTAAATTAATAATATTAAGTGATGAAAATTGGCGATATTTATGTTTAAAGAAATAACATAACATAACATCACGCCTTTTTATCCCCGAAGGGGTAGGCAGAGGTGCACATTATACCACTGTACAATGTAACACCCACTTTTCACTATTTATGTTATGAGTCCCATGTAATAGGGGGTGAGCCTATTGCCATATACCGGGCACAATTCCAGACTCCGAGCTACTACTGAGGATATTTAAAAACCCAGTAATACTTTGCCTGACCCGGGAATCGAACCCGAGACCCCTTGCCCGGCAGTCGCACTTACGGCCACTCGGCCAACGAGGCATTCAAAAGAAATATGGGATTAAAGAAATTCAGTTTAAAGAAATATGGGATGGATATTTTTTTAGGATGTGTATTTATTTTTCTTCAGAAAAACCGTTTTGACGCCTAATCTAAATGCTTGTCCTTTAGACATCAACATTATCATCATCATCATCAACAGCCGGTAGACGTCCACTGCTGGACAAAGGCCTCCCCCTTAGTCCTCCACGTCGAACGAAAACTCGTGACCTGCACCCACTGGCTCCCCGCAACTCTGGCGATGTCTTTAGTCATTTGTCAGATGGTACACACAACACTATTTTTGTAAATAAATAAAAATATTTATCTGATCTAGTACTCTCTCTTACTCTTTAGTCCTAGTACTCACTTTGTTTCTTCTTTAATAAAACTTTGCCCCACATTACGATTTTCTCCTGTGTCGTGGGTGCGTTTACAAACATACAAGTTCACATACACAATGACACCCAGACCCGAAACAACAATTTGTGGATCACACAAAGTATTGTTCCGTGCGGGAATCATACCCGCGACACGTTGCACGGCAGCCGGTTGCCCAGCCATAGCCACCGCACCAACCATGCAATTAAATTCAGGTACCAGGCTACCAGAAAACGATAAGAGGTGTTAACCTCATTAAAATGAATTCAAGGCGCGGCAGGGGTGTGTCAACGGTAGATATGAAACGTAATGATAACTATTATATTAATAATATAATTATTATAAAAGCGAAATCCGTGACAATAGTTCAACAGTTATCTGCACAATAAATAATGATAATGCCCAGCTTTGTCTGTTGATTAAAATACGGTTGTATTGTTTATGTTTTGAAGTAAATGATTTGCATGAATTCGAGTTCAAAGCTTAAAATGTTTATTTGTTTGTCATATCTACAGTTCAACGGACATTTATAACAATAAATGACGTCAAAATTAAACCCATATCAAGACATTATTTTTCAGTTCAAGTGTTTTAATTTCAACGAACTTTTCGAGGCAGCCAATCTTTTACATTTTCCAAAGTCATATTGTTAATCAGCTGACCTGGAAGTCATTGAGGAGGCTATGTTTAGCAATTAATGTCTTACTGAAATAATGGGTAACAGGTTAAGTGGACCTAAATCCTTTAAGAAGTGGATGTAACCACGATTTGACTAAGGAACCCCATATCCCAGACCTAACCAATCCCAAGATATCGGTCTTTGAGCATCTTTCATAAAAAATCCAGGTTTTTGTTGATTGCCCCCTTTTTTTTGTTTGGCGTATATTTTTTCTAGTTTTGCTATATTTGTGAACGGTTAAGTTTGGGATAGGGGTACCTTAGTCAAATCGATCAGAAATCGTGGTTACATCCGCTTCTTAAAGGATTTAGGTCGACTTAACCTGTCACGCTGTATACTATGATCATGATGATGATGATCCTAGATGAATGAGTAAAACGTATGAAAAAACTAGCGACCCGCCCCGGTTTCGCACGGGTGCAATATGCTTACATGTATTATACATATAAACCTTCCTTAAGAATCACTCTATCAATGAAAAAAAACCGCATCAAAATCCGTTGCGCAGTTTTGAAGATCTAAGCATACATAGGGACAGACAGACGGCGGACCACAATTTCAAGAATAGCCAGAGAAAATACCTAAAAGCTATAGAAGCGGATTCTCAAGCCATTTTAAAAGGTATAAGATACAAGAAACCACTTTATTTCTAGCATTTAATACCAGATCACGACTTCGGAGTGAGATCACCCGATTTGGCTGTGTTTGGTCAAACGTTGGATCAGATACGCCAACACGATTACACGACACAATGATCCGAACTGATGACTTACTTAGATACTTTGTAGATTATAAATATAAAGCTTTAGGTTTTTTGTGATACTAAAATGGAGTATGTCAGGATATAGTGATAACGTTATTTTGGACTTAAAATCGTTTGATATAAGATTGAAATTGTAGTCCATGAAAAAATCTGAAGATATCATTGCGGATATTCCTCACATGCTTATAAAATATTTTTGGCTTTACTGAAAAATAACAAATGTATGTCCTACCAATCAGCTAGGATCGCATTCTCGCCCGTCATTGGTCGAGATTATTCTCAAAACCAATGACATGGCGAACAGCGATCAAATTCAACTTCGATCTTTCGAATTGAAAGACAGAATAAACACGATTCCAGGCTAAGCGCTACGAATTGCGAAACAGTACTTAATTTTTAATTTTTTCTTTTTTTTTAACTTCATACTCAGAACTAATTTAAAAAAATATTAAGATTACTAGAACTACAAGAAAAGTATAGAAGAAGAGTTCCTTTACACTAGTTTTCATGAAACCAAAATGTAAGGAATCTAAGATGGATTATCCCTCGGATATTACATCGAGAATCGGAAATGAGAAATGTTTCCAATTCCGATATTTCATCTATCTACTAGATTATCGAAACCGATTAACGTTTCAGTTTGAAGGCAATCGAGTGATCGGTCTATCAATATCACTTCGCATTTGGTGCAGATATCGATTATGTTCTCCCAATGTGACACGAGATATAACGAATCAAAGTTTAGGAATGGGGGCTAAAACGTCATTTCTACGTATAAAATGTACATAGAAGTGACGTCACTCGACATTTCAAATCAATATATCGTCGAATAATGTAAGTAATATTTTAAAACAATCTACCAGTCAGACATTAAAATGAAAATTAGTAATAGGGTACTATTAAAAGAAAATACGATTAATTTTTGTACGTGACAGACAATTTGACGCCCGCGCCACTAAATCGCTGCCTGCTTTAATTAAATAAGCTCTTTCTGTCTGTAAATATTGCAAGGGGCTTTACTCAAAAACGTTAATACACTTGGCAGAGCTTGGAAGATTAGTTGAATATCATCGCCTACCGATTTGAAAATAAATATTGAATAACATTCATACTATGTTTTTATAATAACTATCATGAGAGATATTGAATTTACTAAAATTTACGAGTTACTCACGTAAAGATACTTAAAAAAGCTCTACTAATTTCGAGACACAGAGGGACTCTTCCTCATGAGCAGCGGCCAGCGTGCGCGGTCGCAGTTTTTCTAAGTATATTTGCGTGCGTAACTCGTAATTTTAAGTTAAAACATTGTTATTTTTGTCGTAGTACCTATAACTTCGTCACGAAACTTGCTGATGATGCGTTCATTTTTAAGTAATAGGCGTGCTCCATTTTCAGCCACATCATCGCTTACCACTGGTGATGATGGCGAGACTTGAGTACCAACTACGAAGATAACAAAGATTCGAAAGCTAAACAAATACAAACTGAGATCGCAGCCTAATTACACACATAACATGACATAACATCACGCCTTTTATCCCCGAAGGGGTAGGCAGAGGTGCACATTTCGGTACTGTACAATATAACACCCACTTTTCACTATTTATGTTATGAGTCCCATGTAATAGGGGGTGAGCCTATTGCCATATACCGGGCACAATTCCAGACTCCGTGCTACCACTGAGAATCTTTAAATACCCAATAATACTTTGCCCGACCCGGGAATCGAACCCGAGACCCCTTGCCCGGCAGTCGTACTTGTGACCACTCGGCCAACGAGGCAGCCTAATTAAATATCGTTATTATAACGGGTATCAAAACATACCATTATCAAGTAATTAGAGAGTTCTACTGAGATTTTATCGCTTAGTACCTACTATTAAATAATATACTTATCGTAACTATATTGATAATTTTCTAAAATAGACCTTATAGTTAGAGTGTAGAGTTGATAGTCTTTCTTGAGCTTAAGGCTGATGTTTGGAAATTAATATACTTAACTATTCTAGTTACATTATGAATGCTTATCTATTAGTATCAAGCTTATATAAGATAATATTTACTGACTGACAGACTGCCTCGGTCGCAAGTGCGACAGCCGGGCAAGGGGTGTCGGTTTCGATTCCCGGGTCGGGCAAAGTATTACTGGGTTTGTAAAAACCTCAGTAGTAGCACGGAGTCTGGAAATGTGTCCGGTATATGGCAATAGGCTCACCCCCTATTACATGGGTCTCATAACATAATTATGGTGAAAAGTAGATGTTACATAGTAACATACACAAATTATGTACACATACCTACCGTTATGTATACATACAAATACATACAACTCACGTGGCCGAATCAAAATACTCGGCACGTGGGTTATTGGGCGAGCAGCCAACTATGTACATTTTTACAGTATTTTACACTATACGCATAATATACGCTTGTGTGTATGTCTACAATTACCACATATTTCCAGATTCCTCGACCGAGTGGTCGCAAGTGCGACTCCGGACAAGGGGTCTCTGGTCGGGCAAAGTATTAAACATAACAAACATAATATGACGCCTTTTATCCCCGAAGGGGTAGGCAGACGTTCCGCGCGCGCCTCAAAGAGTCATCAGACCACCACAGATGGGGCCCAATAGGGCCGATGCCGATTCGGAGTCGCGGAGAACCTAACGGGTAACCGGGGCTCCGGCTCGACGTGCAGGTGAAGGAACGGTGTGGTATTTAGTCAGTAAGAGTCTGACACTCCCTTCCGCCTCACCCAGGCGGGAGCAGTCATTCGATGATTTCCCCCTTAAAAAAAAAAGGGGTAGGCAGAGGTGTACATTATGCCACTGTACAATGTAACACCCACATTTCACTTATGTTATGAGTCCCCTGTAATAGGGGGTGAGCCTATTGCCATATACCGAGCACAATTCCAGACTCCGTGCTACTATTGAGAATTTTTAAAAAACCAATTAATACTTTGCCCGACCCGGGAATCGAACCCGAGACCCCTTGCCCAACAGTCGCACTTGCGACCAATCGTCAACGAGGCAGTTAAAAATAAACATTAGTTAATATTACTCAACTCGCTATTATGAGTAAACACAATCAAAACCGATCAGTTCTCTTGTGTATCCACCCACGCATACATTCAAACTTTATAATATTAATGATATACTATGTAAACAGTTAAATTGTAAGTCTGTTTATGTAAAGTACTAGTTTCTAACCATTACTGAAGAAACTTCTAGTAAGGTCTTGGTTAAATACTATATACATATTAACTGCCTTATGACTTCTCCCGCCTTGGACGAGGCAAGTGAGAGTGTCAGACTCTTCCTTTTTTTGAAGAGATAAGTCGGTAAACGGGCTGACGGATCGCCTGATGATAAGCAATCGGCGTCGCCCATGGACACCCGAAACACCCGAGGCGTTACAAGTGCGTTACCGGCCTTTTGGGAATTAGGAATTTGAATTCGGATTCGGGGATTGAGGAGACTGGGGAAGGGGGTAATTGGGCCTCCGGTAACCTCACTCACACGACGAAACACAACGCAAGCGTTGTTTCACGTCTGTTTTCTGTGAGGCCGTGGTAT